ATGTCTTGACAAAACATCCATTCATGTCAAATTGAACCTTACAACAATGTGATACAAGTTTGCTCACCGAAAGGAGGTTCTTCTTCATTTTTGGCACATGTAGGACTTCTTTCAATTTGATCTTCTTCATTTGGTCCTTCACAACAATCTCTACTACAATGGAGCCAATTCCAATGGCTTGTACCATATCATTGTCTCCCAACCTTACTTTTGTTGCTGGAATTTCTTCATAAGTGTCAAATGAACACTTGTATGGTGTCATGTGCTTAGTAGCACCTGAATCTATAATCCTTTTTGACATGGGAGCCATGGAGGCTCCTTCCTTTGCCATGAAAGCATACTCATCTCCACCAAAACTATCACTAGCATTATTTGCATTCTCCCTATCTCTTTTCTTGGCCTTGTAGTAATTTTTAGCAAAATGACCTGGTTTTCCATAAATATAGCAATTTCTCATATTGCTTTTTGAATTATGACATTGGTGAGAATAGTTACCTTTGCCTTGTCTTGAAAATAGAGCCGAATCATCACTGACAAGCTCCTTTTCTTTCCTCTTGGTCACTTCATGGGCAAGTGTTGACGTGACATAGTTCATGGTAAGCTCCTTCATATTGATGGACTCCAATGCCACAATGAGGTAGTTGTAGGATTCGGGAAGGCTCATGAGCAATGTCAACACAATGTCCTTATCATCAACTGGTTTGTCAACAACTGCTAGTTGATTAGCAAGTGTTTTTATCTTGTTAACATGAGCCATGAGGTCATCTCCTTCTTCCATCTTTACTGTCAAGTACTTCCTTCTTGTCCAAAGGATGTTGGCAAGGTTTCTACTCTCATAGATGTTGCAAAGAGTCTTTTATGCTTCCACTACTCCATTGTAAGCTATAAAATGTGAAAAGTTGGCATCATCAAGGTTTGTTGCAATCATCCCAAAAGCCTTCCTTTCACGACATTTATACTCCTTCTTCACTTTGATATCAGCATTGTCACTTGGAGGGTCTTTACTTTCATCGACAATGTCCCAAAGATCCAATGAAGCCAACAAAAGCTCTATTTTCTTCTTCCAATGGTAAAAGTTGTCACCCTTAAATTTTTCAATCACTCTCAAGCTCTCACCCTCACTTGAAGCCATATCTAAGGAAGGGATGTGTGAAAGAAAATCAAGAAAACAAGATATAGAACTCTCAAAATCAACAAGAAGGTATTGCTGCATTAGAAACCCAGAATGCCCTCTTTGTAAGTAAACAAGTGATTTCACTCTTGTATCACTCTCAACTTCACATATAAGACTTCTCACAAGTTTTACACTCTATCTAAACCTCTTGTATAAGCTTTGCCACTCTTCAATCACCCCTCTTTTCTCACAAAATACTTCTAACCTCACAAAAAATACTTCTTGTGAAAATAGAACAATCTCTTAAGAAGTTAAGTACATGAAACCACAAAGTTAGAACATCAATGATAAGTTTCAGCAAAGAAATATAACACTAGAGTTCTAAAACATCATTATATTGATTCTAACATCAACAAAGACTATGAGTGCACTTAACAATAAATAAGAGCAAAATTTCATCAACAACTAGATATATAAGAAGGATTAGAAGATAACAAACTCAAACTTCAGCAATAACCATAAGATCTACTCCTTACAATAAGAAAGAGTTCAAAGTACTTCAAAACTCACAAGTAAAGGTGAGTGGGCTCATAACCTATTAACAAAATAAGTACTTAGAAGATACAACACTTAGCATCAGTAAGGTTGCACACAAAGAGAGTATGGAGTAAGATATCTCTCACTTCCAACACCCATTACTTATAGGTGGTAGTTGATGTCCTAAAAGACAACGTCCACTCTTTGACTTTTACACACATGGCCCTAGGATCCTTTTGGCATCTCACGAGTCGCAAGACTATCTTATGTCCAATACTAATTACTCTTACGTCTTACACACATGCTCTTAGGATCCTTTGGCATCTCACGAACTACGAGGGTATCCTATGACACACACTAATGACTCATACTTAATCTTTGGATATTCCTTTGTTAATATTTTATCCTTTTGACTTTGACTCTTGGTCCATGACTTCGTCCTATATCCATTGGATGCCCTTACCATATACCAAGAGTTAAACCTTTGACCATTAGTAACTTACCTAAGGTAATATCTTATATAAGGTAATATTTTCTACTTTTACTTTAACAGTATCTCTAGTATTTGATTTAAGAATATGTTTTTATAAGTCTTTGTTAATTAAGTGCAACAAACATTTCGATATGAAATCACACATTTACAAAGAAGTATGTAAAACCATGTGTATGATACTTGAATCTTGTAAACAAACATGTAGATTTGTAATTTTTTCAAGCTTTTATACGGATTTTTTTTTAAAAAAAATAAAAAAAATCCCTAGAATACTCTACTTGTTTATTAAATAAAATACAAAATATATTGCAAGGATAACATCTCTGTTCCAACAATATGTAAAGCCATCTTTAATTTCTTTCCATACTTTTACAAGGGTAGTTGTAAACAATTAATTAATTTATTGCACCACATCTATACCACATAGAATATATAGAAGACATAATTGCAACATGATATTTCTAGTTCTATATTTGTATATTATATTTCTGCCTAAAGAATACACTATTTAATATTATATTACTCTGCATAGATTCAATAACTTTGAAACAATTAATAAAATCCCAAAGAAATACTAGAATATTCTTATAATATTAGGATCTTTTTTACACTTATAAATAAAAGAGTTGAAATATTTTATAATTTAGAAATATATTAAATATTACTACACTGTAATAAAGATATCCTTTAAAATTCCTTTGTAACACTACATTGACTAGAAATTTATTTGGTATTATTTAAAATTTTAATAGCATTATTTGATTTTTAGTGGCCAAATAACAAAATGATAAATAGAAATTATTCACTAAAAAGATTTAAATATATTTTAGCTGCAAATATACTTATATGTTTAGAAGAGCATTTGATAACAATATTAGAAATTAATAAATTATTATTCTTATATTCATGTAAAATTTCATAGTTTTTTTAATGAATTATTAGCTTTTATTCTAAAATAAATAATTTATTTATTATTTTTATTTTAATTTGAATATAATTTTATAAATTTTTATATATATAGATTAAATATTTATATGATTTCTTCTTAATTGCTTTCTTTAAAATAAGTATATATATATATATATATATATATATATATATAGGGAGAAAATATAAACTTAATTTAATGAATTCATAAAATATTATAACCTTGATTTCACAATTTAAAGCATTTTTTCTTGTTTTTATCAAATCATATCTAATTGTGTTTAAAATTTATTCCTTATCTTTACACAAAAGAACCATATAATTTTACAATTAAGTTAAAAATCATATTTTTTTCTAAAATATTATTAGATTCTTTATATTATTAAATTTTATTTATAATATTTTTGCTATTGGAACTTTAAGATATAGTTCGAAATTCTCAATTGAGTATAGCAAAGTTAGTTTAATTTTAAAAAGAATGGTTTCTTCAGTGTTAATTTCAATGTTTGTTTGTTTGTTTTCCTTTTCTTTTTCAATGAGTACATCTTGTTCTTATTCTTTTTTACAATACAATTTACACAGTAAAATTTAATTTAATTTTAAAAAAATTATCTAAAATTAAATCTAATAAATAATTTCAATCTTTATTATTTGTTCTTTAAAAATGGTGTTATAATATTAAAAAATTAAGAAAAAACAACACCACGATCTGTGTTTGACAATAATTGATGATGTGCCACTTTTGCTTTGTCTTCTTCAATACCAAGATCCACAAAGCCTTTTCTAAACTTTTATTTACTTCTAGGAAATCCAATCTGAACTCTAAATTCTCTCAACTTAGACTTTCTACTTAAAGCTCAATGTGCATGTATGTATGTGGATTATGTAAAATACCACAAGTCTAGTGCATTAGATAAATACCTCAGAGTGGCGTATCATCCATAGAGGTGTTGCCTAATCCATTGCTTGCTTAGTGCCCCAAGGCATTGGAATGGCAACATGCTAGGAAATACTGTGTTTTGTACTAAATATATATTATTTAATTTTTATGCACATCTTTCACGTATAGAAGTCAGTACGGTTGGTATAGATCCTCCCTAGTCCTACTAAGTCTGCATATAAAATGCAGTTGGCAACAAGGATGTATTTATACATACATATATATCCAAAGTAAATGTTTTGGCTTCCCCTTTCTCTTTCCATGGCCCTTGTGGTTCCTTGGAATTCTCCTCTCCCTTGACCTATGGATTTCAAAGTGAAATCAATGGGCAATCTTACAAATAAATGAAACATAAAAAAATAAAAAAAAATAAAACATACTAATCATCCCCTCCAAGGTACCAATATGGGGATAGGTTTGCCATGGCCCTTTACAAATGCAACACTACTAAGTAACCTTCCTTTTTGTGTACTTTGTACTTTTTACTTTTGATTGTGTTTTCTCTGAGTGGTAGTGCGACCCAAGTTGAAAAGGGGGGGGGGTAGTGAGGAAGAGGTGACTTACTTCTACTCGCTTTCTACTACTCACTTTCTACTACTGCTGACAAAGCCACTCCACCAGCAAACTCTGGATCTCAGTATCCAGTCTCAATCTATCTCTCTCAAGGGAAAAGAAAAATCAAGGAGGGGCTGCCCAGCTCAGTAAGGCAAGGCAAACCAGGGCATGTCATGTGAGCCCCATGAAGCAGAAGAAGAAGAAGCACAAACAACAACAACAACAACAAAGCTTTGCTTGTGTGTGTGTGTTCAAGTGGGAGTGAGAGAGTACCAACAACATGGGGAACACACCATTTTGGGGGGAACATAACATTTCCTCACTCACATGCACAGAGAGGTGAGAGACTGAGGACTGTTCCCAACAACATCAACAACCCTAAATAAAACCCTATTTAGCCTGCCCATTCTTCTCAACATGACTTGTTTGTTCTTTTTTAGGGTTTTGACGCCTTCAGGGTTTCACAGTTTTAAGCCTTCTTCTGCTTCTTCTTCTTTGTTGTCTTATTCTACTTTTCAAATACATCTCAAACCAAGCAAGAGCAATGTCATTACATATTCACTTCAATTTTGGTATATTGTTCCCTTACAGGTAGAAACAAAACAGCCCCAACTTCACCATCTTTGCTGTATTGTATTGTTTTGGTTTTTGTGATTATTTTTATTTTATTTTGTTGAAGAGATTTTCCCTTGGGTTATGCTTTCCATGAGATTGTCCATCATGTCCTTGGAAGCAGCGCAGGCAATCCATGGAGCAAATCTTGGTCTTGCTGTGCCCTGTCGCAACCCCTTTTCACAGAACAGTGCTGCCTTGTGATCCTTGTTGCTGTTGTTGTTGTTATTGCAGCCCCCGGGGCAGTGCTAATGAATGTACCCCACCATTGGCAAACACAAATGAAACACAGGGAGAGCTGAGATGTGAAAGCAGGTTTTGTAGGGTACTGCTCGGAGGAAGAACCCATGTAAGCAAGCATCTTGACAGAGGGGGCCTCACTTGCCCATTTAATGCCGCATTTGGAGGCACCATTCCAAGGCTTTGTGTTGCATTACTTGTGTTGTAGCATTTGATCATCACCATTTGTGTGTACAGCTTATGTCCAGCCCAACACAAGGATACCATTTTCAGATGGGTGGGGTTATAAGATTGGACAGATTTTTGTGGATGCAAAATCAAATTATTAATTGTATTTTTTCTTTCATTCATACTCCAAATCAGTATTGGAATATGAACATCATAAAAGCAAAAATATAATAATAAAAAAAGAGATAAAGTTCCATTTGATTGGATGATTTGTATTTTATTTAAATATTTTAATCTTCAATTATGATTGCTAATTTTTATACCTTCAACCAATAATGTTATGCTTTAGCATGTCAAATAGTAAAACTCAAAAGAAACATTTATCGACAGATAAGAATTGACAAAAATAAACAACTACAAATTTTTAAGAATTATATATAAGAAAAAAATGTCAAACAAACTAATTTGTAGATGAAACCAACTTAAAAAATAATTGTTATGTTGCAACTAAAAATTAATTTTCTATTTATTATAACAGATATATGAATACTAAAATGTTTTGTGACAGTTTTACCTTTATAGTTTATGTGCATTTCAAAAGAGAAATATTAACAAACACATACTTTTACAGTTTAAAATTTATGATTTTTTTCCTGAATAAAAGTTAATAAAATGTAGTCATACACCACCTTTTAGCATAATCTTTATATTATGTCACAATTGAAAGAACTTTAATTAGAATAGGAAACTAATACATTTTATCTGTATGGTAAGAAATGCAAGAGTAAATAACTGAAATTTATGTGTAGAATATCAAGCTAGTGATAAAACATTGAAATTAAAGATGACAGGTGTATTTTTATTTCAATGACATCTAAGTAAAAACATCATTTGAAACAACTAAACTATAGACTAGTAGTGCTTTAGTAAATGAAAAAACATTCAGATCAATATGTGTGATTTTGGTACATGAAAACTGAAGGTTTATTCTTACTAGTTTTTAGAGATATTGAAGCAAGAGTTGAAAAAAAATCAAATCAATTTATTTTTAATGTATTGTAAAAAAGCATGTACCAGAAAAAAATGGTTTTAAAATTTTTAAAATAAAAGAAAAAAAAATTCCACATAAATTTGTATGTGATCTGATACTCTTTTAATCCACAGTATTATATATAGTATATTTTGAAATAAATTTAGAAACAATTATGTGTAAATATATTTAGCATTAAGAATATGTAAATAGGTTGCAAACAAACAAACAAACAAAAAAACAAACAAAAAATAAAATCAAGTTATAAATTTAATGAAAGAGCCTTATTTTCCCTTTATTTGATATTATTACTTGACACAAAAGGGGATTTATCCTACACATTGATGCGATAAAATAAATATAAAAATATTTTTTAGTTCCCATCATCCATGCAAAGTAGAGTTATGAGTACTTTGTGATAAAATTGCTATTATTTTTTTTAATTATATACTTTTGTGTATTATCGAGCAACATCGTGGTATTTTAAGATTCTATGAAACAACTTTATGCAATTTATAGACAATTTTACTCCAAATTTTGGAGTTGAAATTCTATTTTTTTATTTTGATTAAATATATAAATATAATTTGATAGCCATTGTTCTTATGCAGTTGGTTTGGCATGCTTCATTTTGTATTAAAAAAATTATTGGATGTTTGCATGTCATGATTATAAGGCACTTACAAATCATTTAATATTGCGAGCTTTGGTGGCATCTTCTAGATTAATTGTACTAAGACTACCTTTAGCACACACCTTACAACATGTAGACCAAGCTTTATACATGTTAAAAAAAAAGTTATTCCATAAAAAAAAAAAGTTCGAACATGGTTTTCATTTTGCATAAAATCTTTAAAGAAACAATCCATTTATTAAAAAAAATAGAAGAATCATAAAAGAATGCTATTTTCTACAAAAAAACCTAACCGCTACATTAATTTTAGTGGAATATCAATAATCTTACTTGTGTGCCATTCTATCAATCAAAAAAATTATTTATGTCTTGTGCATATTAAGATAAGCCAAAAGCAAGTGCTTAATAGCTTACTGAGATTGTTGAAAGAGGTGTAAGTCTGTCTAAAATTATTAATCAAAGATAATCTTCTTCTTTTTTTGAATTGTTGTAGAGAACTAATTTGGAAAATTTAATTTTTGAATTTGTAGCCGAATAATATTCTTTAATGATTTTATGTCAAGGTTTTCACGTTATTCTCTTTTTACTTTATGGTGATGATAGAGCTTTCTCCATATTAGCATATGACTTGCTGATCTAGTTTTCTAATGTACATTGATACCAGAGAGCTTATGTTCTTTGACTACATTGTCATGTTGTAAGACAACTATTTGATGAAAGAAAAAAGAAATTGTTATATTATAAAAGAGCTCATAATATCAAATTGTTTTAGAAACATAGATAAAAGTTCAGAAGGTTATAAAATAATCCAATGTTGATATTGTCTTTTGATAAAAAAAAATAAAAATAAAAATGGTTTCTACTAACTTTGAAGGACCATAAAAAAGTCATAAAAAAATTAGTTTACTAAAAATAACATCATAGACATCTTAAGTTAGAAGTAAAGAGTACTTTTGAAAAAAAATACTTATAAAAACCTCAGATTGATACTCAAAGAAGAACGGATAGAAATTTCCAAGAGACTTATTTATAGGTCTTAGAAATACTGATTTTCAAAACAAGAGGATTGATTAGAAGATTTAGCTTTAATTTTATTTTTTATTTTTTTATTTTTTATACATATAATCAGTGTATTTTTTTCAATTTTTTAAAAAATAGCAATATGGTCTAGATGATTCATTTTGATTAGTATGAATTGAAGTCTCTTTTATACAGCCTTTGTATCTATGTATATATATATATATATATATATATATATGTTTTATGGAGTTTAGTAAGTTAATTTATTGCCAATTATTCAATGTAGTGTTGTCTTTTAAATTAATGAGAGAGAGATATGATTATTAAGAATGCTTTTTATAGGAAACAACAATGGAAGAGAAAATAACTAGTAAATTAATATAGATGATGACACTACTTCTTAAATTATATAAATATATAAATATAATCTTATTATATATTTAATAGATTATAGAAAGAAAAAAAAGAATAAGATAAATGAGTAACATAAAAATGAAAGTGCTACATAGTACAATGGTAATCCTTAATAAACACATCAAGTTGTTTCATCTGTTGTATTCAATCTTTACATGTTTTGGAATTAAAACCGATCTTTATATTGTCTATTTTTATTTTTATTTTTAATAAAAATAATAATTTACCTTTTTTTCTTAATTTATTTATTTTTTAAATTCCAAATGTGCATAAGTCTGAATGCATTGCAGATATATTTGAAAAATATCTGATAGCACTGTGTGATGCTTGAGGATTTATTAATGTATTTGTCCAAGCATTTGTCCAAGTTTGAAGGTATCAAAATTATTAAACAACTTCTCATATACCATGCAATAAGTTAAGCTTTATAAATAATTTTGATTACATCGATATAAAGATTAAATGATAAATTTGTAATTTTAAGTTCCTTTGAGAGTCAAATAAAGTCAAAATCAGAATAATGTGGTGAAACAGTTTTTCAATAAACTATCATTTACACAACAAATCATTTAGAATCACAGTGTCCAGAAACATTCAAACTATGAAAGTGCTGCAATAATCCAAAATCAGTCAAGAACCCAACAAAAAAAAAAAAAAAAAAAAAAAAAAAACAGCACTTTATCTTTACTTTTCCATCCATAAACTGTCTAAGAAACTCACAGTTACCATCTAATTAAACTCGGTCCTCAAAACCCATGCTCACATACAAAATCATATATATATATGTATGTATATGTGTGTGTGTGTGTGTATCATTTTGTACTGAAACATTCCTGGTACTTTGGTCTTCATTATAATTAGCTCATGTATGTTATGTGCTGGAATGAAATAAATTTCACCAAGCCACCCAATTTCAAACAATGACAGATCATAATAATAAAAAAAAGGCTGGCAATATTTCACTTGTCCTTCTGTTAGAATGAACATTAATATCCTTACATCATATTATGGATTACAACTTTAATTATAACCAAAATATAGGTATCACTACTGACTTTGAGGACCCACAAATATACTCAAGCTGACTGAATAATAGTCATTGGCTTGGAAAGTCCAATCCCCAGAATTTCAATTAAAATTGAGCATAAATTTCCCACCAAATTGGCCCTTTGGACTCAACCACAACACACACCAACTACACAACAACAACACACAACTTGATCTTCTTTCACTTAAAGTAACATCAGCATCCATGTGGGTCTGGCACCATCATCACATGGCCAAGTGGTCATGGGCACCAATCATTCATTCCATTCCAATCTCAAAGCAACTCTCGAGACAAATTTTGGTCGATCTGGCACCAACCTAACCCATTTCTGACTCCATCCAGTGGACGCCATGTCAGCACCACTGCGGGTTAACATGTCAGTCTGAGGGGATCTCTCTGTGCTGCAAACTGCTGTCTGTCCTCCTGACTACCCAAGCCCACTACTCGGGAATCGAGCTCTGTCACCGTGGGTGGCATCCACTACCGTGCCTTGAGAATCTGACAAGTCTTCCTCATAGCCTGCGGCTTAAGGGTGGCCTGCTGCGGGCACCTAATCCCAAACCAACGGTAATGGGAGCTTCGGACCCAGGGAATGACACGTACGCATCCACGTGGTTCGAAGATAGCAGTATCTGTGGACAAGGGCACGATGGGGAGGACAGAACTGCAAGCGACCCTGTATATATACAATTTAAAAACAGAATGCCCCGATTTAGCAGGATGGAATTTCCTTAAACGAAGGGTCGGATCAC